ATACACTTAAGTGGTATATACGTTCACACAGACACTTAAGTGGTATATACGTTCACAGACACTTAAGTGGTAAATACGTTCACTTTAGAGGCAGAAAATCCTTGGAACGTGAAGAATGTTCGAGAAGCCTCACCAAGCAAGACCCTTTTGTTGTGTGTGTGTGTGTGTGTGTGTGTGTGTGTGTGTGTGTGTTTACTTACAGCTTTAATAATAATGATAGTGATAATATTCGAGTATTATCTTAATGTTTCTGGTACACACACACACACACACACACACACACACACACATACACACACACACACACACGGAGGATCACCATGTGTGTGTGTGTGTGATGGAGGAGGAGTGTAGAAAAAAAAATCAGTTAAATAAAAAACACTAGGCGAAGCAGCGGCGGCGGGAGTGAATAGGAACAAATAATGATTGAAGTAAATGGCGTGTGTGTGTGGGGAAGTAAAGAGACCTTCAATGTGCTGGCAAACTGTTTATACTCACTAAAACTCAGCAGTTCCCTCCCACCCTCCCTCCCGCTACCACCGCGTCCTAACAGTTGATTTTTGGGACTTTTTTTTCCATCCTAGAAGCTGCGGCCGGCATTACTCCCTCAGCTTGAGTCATATATCATGTAAAATCCATTAACTCACACTCTCTGACATTATTTAATTAGGAGATAATGCTTTAGAAAATAATGTGAGGAGGAGATTGAGTGCAGCGCGGCGGGCCCCCCCTCCAAGTCTTGGTAGTTGACCCCGTACACCCAGTTACGCCCTTTGAGCTGCGGGGCCGGGCGGGCGGGCGGGCGGGGGGGCCGCTCCCACCCACACCAGCCCTTTATTTTATATTCATAACACATGTATTTTCCCGGGAGAAAAAGTCTCTGGTACAGAAGACTTGAATATTGTACAGAGACGTAGCTTCTTACATAAATAATAATTTTTTTTATTTAGGGAAGATACATTAGAGAAAGATCTAGTGGGGTAGAGGCGTCTATCAACTCCCCGCGCGCCTGTGAGTCATGTTGGCCAGCTGTTCTGCCACTGTCAACATGACCAGATAGCGTCCTCCCTCGCCCTCCACGTGGAGTAGTGTGCGTCGCCATGACAACCACGTGGAGTTGGGTGCGTCGCCATGACAACCATCATCTCTGCCTCCCTATTGGTGGAGTGTGCTGGTGCTCATTGCCGGGTGTCTCCTGTCTCCTCGATACTTTGTAGTCTTGGGGCGGCAACCACGTGAAACTGTATTTTCCTACTAAATAAAGCTTGCTAATGGGATTATCTGGATTATGATTTAAAAGTTGAAACTATACATATCGACGTAGAGCAAAAAGAGAACTATCAAACACCCTCACCAACTTACATTCCCTTGTCGTGGAAGTCGCGGTGAGGCTGCGGCCATGTTGCGGTTGGCGAGGGAGATTTTTACAGCCTTACCATTGGCTCCTCATCAACCAATAGAAGCTAGTGTTGTGATTACTCCACGTGGACCTGCCCGGATGGTGAACTGGTGTGGTCGGGCTAATAGTGGTTGAGTGTGTGTGTGTCAGACGTGGGGAGGTATGATATTATTATGAGTTTTATTACACCACGGGCTTCCTCCATTATGGCCTCGGCGTCACACTCGGTGCACGCCGACCCACGCCCACACCCGCCCTCTCCCGCCAGTTCAACATCTAGTTCCCGCCATCACCGCCATAACCTCGCGGGAAACTTTTGGCGCGAGTGAGAAACTGCGTCTCTCTCTCTCTCTCTCTCTCTCTCTCTCTCTCTCTCAGTGTATGTATACCTGTGTGTATGCGTGTAAATGTGTATACCTCTGTGTGTGTACAATTAGTCCATTTAACTGAGCAGGAATAATTAAGCCAGACGGAGATTATGGAATTAGTTTCAAATATTGCCCGAGTGACTGGAAGAGGGGGAGGGGGAAGAGGGAGAAGAGGAGGAGGAGGGGGAAGAGGAGGAGGAAGAGGAGGGGAGGAGGAAGAAGAGGAGAACCACAAAGAACTAAGATATTGTTAAGCCACATAGAGAAAATAAAGCCAGGAGTTAATTAGTAAACAAAGCCGGAACACAGACTGGGATTTCTATAAAGCCACTTTTACATAATACTACTTTAAACAGAATAAGCCAGAAACAGAAGAGGCTTAAATTAATACTGTGTTAAGCCAGGGGGTTCATCAAATACTGGTTTAAATATAATAAAGCCAGGAAAGGAAATAACTAACTCAAAATCAAGACACATTAAGCCAGTTTTAGAATATTTTAAAATAAAGCCATACAAGCCCCTTAAATTAAGCCAGTTTTAGAGTCTGTTGATATAAAGCCACAGACACACCTTAAATAAAGCCAGGGGGCCGAAAATCACTCCCCAGATAAAGCAAATATTACTATACAGAGGATAAAGGTTAGCAAGCCAGGGAGAGTTCCTTATTGCTAGCTGTGAGAGGGAAGGAAGGAAGGAAGGAGGGAAGGAGGGAGTATGGAAGGTTCTCACAAGGCAGGACTTTACTCTCCCCCTCCCTCCTTCCCTCTCCCTCCTTCCCTCCTTCACTCGTCTTCCACACAACTTTCGGAAAAACCAAAGAAATTTCTCCCCCGCCCCGCGTCTGAAAGCATGATGGCGGGTGTATTAAAGAGACGAGTGACGAAAGTTTTATGTCAGGCCGGGGCAACGAGACAGACAGACAGAACAGACAGGTGGTTAGACAGAGAAAAGAGACAGAACGAACAGGTGGTGAGATAGAGAGATACATTCACTGAGGGATTTTTAGACAGTTTTATGACCAGGTTAGGAGTGCGAGTGAGGAGACAGATATAGACAGATGGTTGGTTAGACAGGGAGATAGATGGATAGATAGACAGGGTTAGACAGGGAGATATATGGATAGATAGACAGGGAGGCAGCTGATTTAGACAGGGATACAAAAAACAGATGGCTGGTCAGACAGGGAGTGAAACACAGACAGACAAGAGGTAAATGTGTTTTTTTTAAAGTCCAGGTACAAGTGACAAGACAGACAGATAAACAGACAGACAGACAGACAGACAGACAGGGACAACAGACAGGAGAGACAGTGCAAAAGAAGACAGGTTTGCATGCAACCTTTATTTACGACTCAAAATCTGAACCAACTGAAGCAAGAGAGAGAGAGAGAGAGAGAGAGAGAGAGAGAGAGAGAGAGAAATCTTAGTGGCAAGTAAATAATAATAACAACAACAACAACAACAACAATAACAACAACAACAATAACAACAACAACAACAATAATAACTCCATCACTACTACCACCACAACAATAATATCAATAATAATAATAATCATTCACTCAGGTCATTCAGTGATTTAATAAACTAGTAAGATATGTTCATGTGTACAAGCAATAAATTTTTACAGTCAGGCAATGAATCCAGGAGTATTTTCAATCAGTTCCTGTACATGTGTCATACGAGGTACAAAGATCGGTGTTTTGAAGTAAACTCCTGTTTTTTTTAATGTTTATCAAAAGTAAAATGAAATGTATATGTATTAAGTCATGTGTATATATTTATTTGTATGTATATATCATGTTTGTTATAATAGTGAAAAATAATTTATTCTATTATCCGGAATATATCAGTCTGTTTTAACTCTATATCCGGATTATTTCAATATGTCTTACTCCTAAATCCGTAATATTCCAGTTTGTCTTGTTCTAAAATCCGGAATATTCCAGTTTGTCTGACTCTGAAATCCGGAATATTCCAGTTTGTCTTACCCTACAATCCGGAATATTCCAGTTTGTCTTACCCTACAATCCGGAATATTCCAGTTTATCTTACCCTACAATCCGGAATATTCCAGTTTGTCTTACCCTACAATCCGGAATATTCCAGTTTATCTTACCCTACAATCCGGAATATTCCAGTTTATCCTACCCTACAATCCGGAATATTCCAGTTTATCTTACCCTACAATCCGGAATATTCCACCCTAACATACTCTTAAATCCGGAATATTTCAATATATCCCAGTTGACTTAACAAAACAAAGAAACAGGAACAAGTCAATTTAAACAATGGTGTAAACAAGATGAAGAAATAAATCAACCTAAACAACGATGTAAACAAATTGAATGTGTAAACAAGATAATATTAAAGAAACAAACAATAATCTTTTATATATGTGATGTTGGTTTACGTTTTACTAAAGAAAGTCCTTGATTAATTCCTCTTCTTGACTACTGCAACACAACACTGATCAGATGAAACACTTTTAGGATAACACAACACAGTACAGTACAAGACAACACAACACCTATCAAGACACAACACAACACCTATCTGGACACAACACAACACAGCTTCCACCAGGACAGAACACAACGCAACACAACACCCCCATCAGGAGACAACACAACACAGCAACGAGCAAGATACAACACAACAGCTACACCAGACAAAGCCAGGCGAATCAAAGCCAACGGGAGATAAATGTGTGAGGAACAAAGCCACTCTTGAGACACAGGGCCATCGTTTACACACACACACACACACACACACACACACTGCTGCCGCCCACAGATGCAAAAAGCCACCACCACTACCACCCAAGCCAGCCTAGCGAGCGACAATCACCGTAAAATAAACTTCTACAAAGCCACAAACTCTGGGAGGCAGCAGTAAAAGATGAAGAAGAAAGAATAAAAAAAAAAACCTAAGAGAAATATCGCCTCGACGAAATAAACCACAGAATGACAAATTTACAGATAAAAACCATTGAGAAACCGACCATCGAATAAACCCCGCGAACATTCAACCAAACTACAGTGATCTCAACATCCCTTTCGTTTGACAAAGTGTAAGCATTGAACCCAAACGTACTGTGAGAGAACGTAGAGAGTGAGAGAGAGAGAGAGAGAAGGGTGAGAGATCAGAGAGAGAGCGAGAGCGAGGGAGAGAGAGAGAGCTAGAAGGCCCTCTCGCGAGGGGGTTGGGGACGCGTTCACCCGCCAGTTGAGTGGTGAACGTTGAGGCGAGAGGACTGTACTGCCTCAGCTCACGTAGTGAATTGGAACCTACCCTCACATTGTGTGCTTCTGTGGAACCTACTGCTTGATATAGTGCTTCAGTGGTGCGACAAAGGAGTTGCCGAGGATTATACACTCCCTGAAGGTGCTCTCATGGTTCAAGAAGGATGTACAGTGATTTATTTGCAATATATTTCGTGGATTCCCGAGTTAGAAATGTGTGTGTGAACCAAGGATGATGGCGCCAGACTACACGGCTGGCTAGTGAATTAAAATCCACCATTCATTTTTGTAATTTTAACAAGGAAAAAAAAAATATATATAATTTGAAATGTTAAAAAAAGGTGATAAAGGACTTGTGCTGAAATAATATATAAGAATTGTAGTGATAAATGATAATATAGTTGAGCAAAACGGTTCTGTGGAAAGATATGGTACAGGGGGCCCCTGGCGGTGTGGCCTGCCTCTGTGAACTGGCTCCATCCAGTTCTCGGCCTTCCTCCATATTTGTGGTGGCGGTGAAAATTCTGGCATTAACAATACATGGAATATCCTGGTGGTGTATTTCCTGAGTGAGACTTTCAGTAAGGTTTGGTACACAGTGATGCCAATGACAACACTGGGCTAGGGTCGGGTGTACTCAACCAGCGGCGAGCTCTTGGCACACAGTTTACCCAGCACACACAGTCCCTCTCTCTCTCTCTCTCTCTCTGCAGCACACACACGCACAACACACACACACTCAACACACACACACAACACACACGCACTCACAAATATAATCTCTTGTGGTTTTATGATAGGAAATGAACTCGTAACAGCTTTAACAACGTCAAGGAACCGAAAGAAAATACATACACAAAGAAATATATAAAAAATAGATTACTGTTTACCCTCCTACAATACTTGATGACATTTGAGCTGTGACAAAGGAAATTGTAATTGTATTATTGTGTGGTTGATGGTGTTTTATCGACGGGGTTTAAAAGCAACAAACAGATTCCACCAAACTTCATCATAGATATTAATTTTTTTTTTGTTGGGCCTCGATCTCGTGTAAAAAAAAAATATAGTGTTAAATGTTGGTTATAAATTAATTTGGTGTGTCTAGTGAGTAAATGAGCTTAGGTAGGGTATGAGTGATATGTTCATCCTCTTTAATTCAGATCAATTATGAGTATTATGATCTCGTATGATAAAAAAATATTAATAATATAATAGTTTGCCTTAATACTTATTGGGGAAAATCAGAGCGTAATTTTAAAATGCCAGTCTAACGTATTATAACATAATCACTCATCCGTGGAAATAAATTGCTGGTCGAGTTTTTTGTATAAAGAAATATATACACATACAGAGGGATATGGGGGTATATATATATTTAAATATGTATATTATTATTATTATTTTTTTGACGCAGACATTGGTAATCTACTTTCCATTAAGATAAATCCTGTTACAACAAAATGGTTTTAAATCAGTGTGTGTTTAGTTGCTCACTGCCGAGGCCTCCTCTTTGTAAACTAGTAATGAATCATTTCTTGACCGAGGAAATAGTATAATGTGTATGTGTGTGTGTGTCGTGCTGGGGAACACCGCTCACTGAACACCACACCACGCCCCAACCCTCTCCCCAGCACGCTTCCTCCCCGCCTCTAACCCTCCCCAGTCCGCCTCCTCCCCGCCTCAGCACGCCTCCTCTCTCTCTCCCTCCCTCCCTGCCCGCCCTCCTCCTCCCCCCCACCCCGCACAGACAGTGAAGAGAGTTGGGGGAGAAGTTGCAGTGGAAGAGAGGGAGGAAGACGGAGAGCGATTGGTTGAAGGGGAGGGACTAGTCGGGGGTTAAAGGAGGAGGAGGATGATGAAGGAAGAAGAGAGAGGAAGAGGCAAGGGGCGATGAGAGATGACTTAAGGTAAATGAGATAAAGAAGAGAGAGAGAGAGAGAGGGTGGTAGGGTGAAGGTCTTGTAAACACTCACTATATCACCTTGTGCGGCGGTGGTACCAGAGAAAAAGTTGGTAGAGAAGGTGAGAGATAACGAGTGAGAATAAATAAATAATAAAGATGGAGATAATAGGTAAGAGAACAGAAAGTGAGAGTGGACGGTGGGAGAGAGAGGTGGAAAGGAACGCCTCACTAAGTAAAATTCTGTCGGGTGTAAAATATTTCAAGACGCTGAGAAAATAAATGAAGATTCAAGTTTATTTATAATTTACACAAACCCGTACTATAATTATTCCTCTCATTGACTAGATAATGTAAATAATAATCCCACGAGATTATAATAATTAATACCGGTTTATAAATAATGACTTATTACAGTATTTATATAGAGAAAATTAACACCGAAGATTATTGTAAATTATAGAAGGTATTTTAATTTGAGTTGTTAATAATACTGAGTGAAATATATTTTTGAGGGAGATAATTGATGAAGAGGTGAAATAGATTACGTTAAAATGATAGTAATTTTTTTTTTACAAATGATTAAAAAAAATATTAATTGTAAAACTCGTTATATATTTTTTTTTCGTGGTTGTGATAAAATATACTTCAAGATAGATATAAAAAAATTGTGTTATAAAAGAAAATAGTTTTATTTTTTGTTTTACGTGTTACTGATGGGCAAATTACATAGAGATTTAACAAGTAGATATATTACAGTGACTAGTTAATTCTTGTCGAGTTATTTAAGTAAAAGTTAAACAAAAATATACAGAAATTATAACTTGTTTTACTGGAATTTACTTCAATAATAAATTTTAAAGGAACAGCTTTGAGGGAATTTATCCTTGTTCATCCTTGACTTTATAAAGCTGGTAGTTAATAAGACTTCCAAGGTTTATATACTTTTTTAAGCTGACAAATAATAAGACGTCCAAGGTTTAAATACTTTTTTAAGCTGACAAATAAGACTTCAAAGGTTTATATATTTTTTTTAAGCTGACAATTAATAAGACGTCCAAGGTTTAAATACTTTTTTAAGCTGACAAGACTTCCAAGGTTTATATACTTTTTTATGCTGACAATTAATGACTCCCAAAGTTTATATACTTTTTTAAGCTGACAATAAGACTCAAAATTTTAATATCAATTTATAAAGCTTAATAAATTTTATGAACCGTCTATTTTACGGTGGAATTCTATTGTATTTTTATAAAACTTGAATTTTTTAACTTAAAAAAATAATTCATGACGTCTTTATTTTTTTTTAAATATCACAAAATTAGAAAAAAATCATATTTATTTCAAAAATTTATCTAAAAAAATAAAATAAAAACTTCGACATATTTATTTAAAACATATCCAAAAAATTAAAAATAAGACTATTTTTAAATTTATAAAAAAAAACTAATTTTAAATTTATATCCCACAAAATAAAAACACAAAAACACCTCCATTAACCCTTAACTTTTTAAAAACCAATCAGGGCGAGATTTTAAAATTTTAAGAGTTTATCACATCAATGTTATTTACCGACCAACACACAGTATACCCACAGGGGGCGCCACCACGTTAAAATTATACTACCCGTGAGAGGCAACTGAGTATAACTTAGTATAATGTGTGGTTAGGGGGTATAATACCTACTTGTTATGTTGTTTGGGGTATAATTAGGTAAACAAGAGTATACTGGGTGTAAACAATGGTGTATTGAGGCTATACTGGATGTAAACAAAGGTATATTGAATGTAAACGGCTATACTGGAGGTAAACAAGGCTATACTGGAGGTAAACAAGGCTATACTGGAGGTGAACAAGGGAATACTGGAGGTAAACAAGGCTATACTGGAGGTAAACAAGGCTATACTGGAGGTAAACAAGGCTATACTGGAGGTAAACAAGGCTATACTGGAGGTGAACAAGGGAATACTGGAGGTAAACAAGGCTATACTGGAGGTAAACAAGGCTATACTGGAGGTAAACAAGGCTATACTGGAGGTAAACAAGGCTATACTGGAGGTGAACAAGGCTATACTGGAGGTAAACAAGGCTATACTGGAGGTAAACAAGGCTATACTGGAGGTAAACAAGGCTATACTGGAGGTAAACAAGGCTATACTGGAGGTAAACAAGGCTATACTGGAGGTAAACAAGCAAATTGAACGGTTACATGTGTGAATATACAGGAGTGTGTATAATTATGTATATGTGAGTATATTTTTAGATAGAATGCATGTATAAACGTTTGTGTGTATGTGTTGATAGTAGTGTAGACAGGGAGAGAATGAGGGAGGGTAGTGGAGAATGAGGGAGGGTAGTGGAGAGTGAGGGAGGGTAGTGGAGAGTGAGGGGGTGATGGGGAATGTGAGAGGTGCAAGGGTGAAATTTGTGTGGAGTGCATTGTGTTCTGCCAGTATCACAACAGCTTGAGGGTGAGGAGGGGGGGCTGGTGGAGACAGGGGAGGGCGAGAAGAAGGGTCCTGGAGGTGTGTGGGGGGAGACAGGGCAGGGGAGGTGGAGGGCTGGGGAGAGAGAGAGGAGGGTTGGTGACAAGAAGAGTGGAAGTGTTGACATTAGTAGACTTGGGTGACAGATGATGGGAGAGAGAGGAGGGCGGGAGAGGGGAGAAGGAGAAAAGATGTTTAGCAAAAGAGGGAAGAAGATTTGACAAGATGAAATTAATAGAAATATGAGAGAGTAAGGTGACTAGAAGGAGGAGGATAGGACTAATGACACAGGTAGGGACAGGTGGGAAGGGGGACCTGGAGGTATGTGTCAACCCTTTGCCTCAGGTGGTAATGTGACCGGCTCAGGTATCCTCCCCCTTCCTCCTCCCCCTTCCTCCTCCTCCTGTTTCTTCACCTCTTCTTCCTCTCCTCCCCATCCACCCTCCTTCCCTCCCCCTCAAGTAAAAAATACAATATTGTGTTCACTAAAACCTAAAATGAAACCAGGAAAAGAAAACATCATACTTAAAACCACTCTTAAGTCTTGTGGCCTTCCTTGGTTCGGGTGGTGTGTGTTTTAATGCCCTCGGTAATGTTTGTGTGTGTGTGTATATTGTGACGCTATACACACACACACACACACACACTATATACGTTTGTGAGGTAGAATGAAAGAGTGTGTGGTGAGAGAGAGAGAGAGAGAGAGATTAATTGTAGGCTCAGGTTAGGTTGGGCAGGTGTGGCCAGAGAGGTGTAGGGGGTGGGTGGGGAGGGTCTCTAAACACACAGGTGTATCACTCAGTCAAACACCACCAAACACTCCACCACCACAGCAAGACAAACACGTCAGTTGGGTCGACCTCACCAAGAGCCTGAAGCCTTACTTACCCAGGTTAAGGGAAGCCTCTGGGGGTCAACAACAAGCCTCGACTGACCACCTCCTGAAGCCTTAGCGAAGCCTGTATCCTGGGGGGAGGGGGAGAAGCTTAACGAACGGAAGGAGGGGGTGGTAGTGGAGGGAGGTTGTGATGGTGGTTGTGGTGATGGAGGAGGAGGCGTTGTGGTGTGGAGGGGGGTGTGATGGTGGTTGTGGTGATGGAGGGGTGGTTGAGGGTGTGATAGTGGTTGTGGTGGTGTTGGAGGAGGTGTGATAATTGTGGTTGTGATGGTAGTAGTAGTAGTACTAGGATGGTGGTAGTGGGGATGAGAATATAATGGTTTAGGTATGGTGGTAGTAATGGTATAGAGGGAAGCATGGTAGCTACTGGTAATGGTGGTAGCTGATGGTGAGGATAAGAGGAGGGGCTGGTTATTGGGGGGGAGGAGGGGTGAAGTTGATGGTGGTAGTGAGCGTGGTAGCCTTGAGGGGAGGGGAGGGAGGGGATGCAGTAGCTGGTGATGTAGTCAGTGGGGAAGGGAGAGAGGGAGGGAGGAGAGAGAGAGGGAGGTAGGGAGGTGTTTGCGGTATACTGAGGTGGGATTAAGGAGACGACATTTAGGGGGAGGGAGGATAAACCTACGGGGTCTCTCTCTCTCTCTCTCTCTCTCTCTCTCTCTCTCTAAGTCAATTTATAGTCTAATTAGGATAGAAATTGTAGGTTAGGTAAAGAATAAAGGGGAGGGAGATAGGATAATGTGATAAAGAAGAGAGAAAGAGGGAGATCGGATAATGTGATAAAGAAGAGAGAGAAAGATTGAATAAAGTGATAAGAGAGAAAGAGACTGAGAGATGGGATAATGTGATAAAGAGAGAGAGAAGAGTAGAAAGAGAATAAGAGAGAAAGTGGAACAATTAAAGAAAGGAAAAAGAAAATTAGATAAATAAACAACGTAAACAAACAAATAAGCAAACAAGACCTTAAATAAAACGAGACGGGTCAAACACACTAATGGTCCCGTTTGATTCACTTAGCCTTTTACTATGCTCGTAAAACTGGGGCTAAAAACACAACAACCACGAGGCAGCTGCGCCAGGCGTTGGTACGTCAGCACTGGCATTAGCTAATATGGTCTGTTATAGCTCTTTGTAAACATGTGATCGTAAGTGGCTGGGGGGGAAGAATTAACGTGTGTGTCTTGACAACAATATACACATAAACATACTTAATCATGCATACACTCACGCACATACACTCACGCACATACACTCACACACATACTTATACAAACACTTAAATGTCTTATTAACTTAAACTAGAAATAGATTGACACACACACACACACACACACACACACACACACACACACACTGTAACATTCATGTTTTGACAAAGGTGGTATGAAGGGGGGGGGGGGTTGAGGGCAATCAGTGCGACAGAGACAACCTGTGTGACATAAGAGAGGTGTGATAATTGGTTGGGTGCGTTGTTACAGGTGCGCGACAACACTCTCCTTGTGTGTTGAAGGTGTGTTTATATACCATGAATGAGCCAGGTGGTAGACTATAGTTCACCTGGTGATGATGACGTCAGTGAGGCAGTATGAGGAGAACTCACGGTAGTTGGTACTGACAAAACCACAACACAAGTTACAGTGATTTTTTTAGTGTAAACAAAGTGAATTGTTGAAGAGAAAAGACCAAGAGTAAACGGGAGGACGTGTAGGGTGAGGAGAGGCCCCCCTCTCCACCAGCATGTATCCTGCGGCCATGAACGCCGCGGTAGCTGCGGCTGCCGCAACGCGACACCCCGTCAGTCTTCCGGTAAGTGACCCAGCTGTTTGTGTGCACTGTGCAGCTACTACACCTACACTTGGTCAAGGCTGTGACACCTGTACACAAACATTTAATACTGTCTTGTACACCTACACAGGTTTGTAGAGGCCATCCCACACCTCTTGTAACCACCTGCACTCATTTGTTATAATCTAGGTTACACCTTTTGTGACACACACTGGGTCATTTATACACCTACACCCTAATTAATAATAAATACACTTAAGTACACCCTGTGATACACTAGTCTGTGGTGTATAAGACCGGCCACACCCTGTGATACACTAGTCTGTGGTGTATAAGACCGGCCACACCCTATCAACATAGTGTAGTGTCAAGATAAGTGATACACCCACACTGTACCAAAGAGTTCTACACCTGTTCACTACACCCACATCATGTACACCCGCTGCACTGTGTATTATACTTACACTCAAACTGTATACCTAACCACACCCACACCCACACCCACACACACACACACACACACACACACACACACACACTGTTCACTACACCCACACCTTGTATAACACACTGAGCTAATTCCCATTGTGTTACATGTATTAAATTAGTGTTACACCCACACTGTGTTACACCCTGAGAGAGAGAGAGAGAGAGAGAGAGAGAGAGAGAGAGAGAGAGAGAGAGAGAGACCACTAACGATGACCAAATTAATTCCTTTAGTTACACAGTTATTTAAAACAACTCTAATGACATACAGTAGTCAACCTGTTTATCTCCCCGAGGCAACTCCCCACCATCCTCCCCCTCATCCACTTCCACCACTTCTATCTAGTATCTATATCTATCTATCTAGTATCTATATCTATCTATTTGTTTATTTTATTTATTTAGTAAAGTCTTGGTTGTTTTTAGTTCAGTTTAATAAGGAAAGGCGAGGGTGAGAGATATTTGGTTAGGTTAGGTTTGGTTAGGTTTGGTTTGTTAGGTTTGGTTAGGTTATGATCATGACTAACTTAAAGTGGATGCTCTCTCTCTCATTCATCAACACACTAATTATATGTTAACTTCGGTGGTAAATGTAATTATCAATGTTAAATATTATTATACAAACTTTACAATGATATTAGTTTTACATTCTTGAGTTGTGTCTAAATTTAATAACATTGTATCGTGGTAATAACTACTGTGCCTTAGTTATCATTGTTAATAACGAAGGTAATGTTAAATTTGTTAACTGTTGTTATAGTAGTGTTAATATTGTTAGCATGAGTTAGGTTAATACTACTAATCAACATTGTTAATATTTAGTTAACTTGCAGGGTGGGAGGGAGTGAAGGTGGGCGTGTGTGGGCGGGTAACGTATTAGTTTTCCTGACCAAAATATTAAGAGGCCAGACCTGAGCAACAGTGCCCAGTGTTAATATTGCCTGAACACCATCTCTGCCCCACACACACACACTGAGGGCGGGAGGTGAGAACACAGACACGGGGCGAGCACAGTGGGTGGTGGAAGGCCATGACAGATTGGAGTGTGGAGGCAGGTGTATCGAGACGGCCCTGTATGCTCGCCCACCTCTATCGTATAAATGATCTTGCCTGCGTGTGTTTGTGGTGGTAGGGTGTTGGTGGTAGAGGGGTGCGTTGGTGGTAGAGGGGTGTTGGTGGTAGAGGGGTGCGTTGGTGGTAGAGGGGTGTGGGTGGTAGGGTGCGCAGGTAGAGGGTGCTGGTAGAGGGGTGTTGGTGGTAGGGTGCGTTGGTGGTAGAGGGGTGCGTTGGTGGTAGAGGGGTGCGTTGGTGGTAGAGGGGTGCGTTGGTGGTAGGGTGCGTTGGTGGTAGAGGGGTGCGTTGGTGGTAGAGGGTGCTTGATGGTAGAGGGGTGCTGGTGGTGGTAGGGTGCTGGTGGTAGAGGGTGCGTTGGTGGTAGAGGGTGTTGGTGGTAGGGTGCTGGTGGTAGAGGGGTGGGTAGGAGGGGTGTTGGTGGTAGAGGGTGCTGATGGTAGAGGGTGTGTTGGTGGTGGTAGTGCGTTGGTGGTAGAGGGTGCGTTGGTGGTAGAGGGTGCGTTGGTAGGGTGCGTTGGTGGTAGAGGGTGCTTGGTGGTAGAGGGGTGTGTTGGTGGTAGGTGCTTGGTGGTAGAGGGTGCGTTGGTGGTGGGTGCGTTGATGGTAGGGTGCGTTGGTGGTATTGGCTATTATTATAAAACAGGTGTTGGTGTTTGTGGTGTTTTTTGTGTGTATAGGATGGGACTCTGTTTGACTGTGTGTGTGTGTGTGTGTGTGTGTGTGTGTGTGTGTGTGTCAATATATCATCTGTGACTGTATGGATCAGTTTTCATTCTTCTTTCCGATTAATCTCTCTCTCACTAGGCCAGCTGGGGATCGCATGAAGTGCTCAGTTAAAAACAAAAACCCGTAAAATGAATAGACTTTAATGTTTTCTTAGTCGTTTTTTCTCTCCATCTCCCTCTATCCCTCCTACCCCTCTCATCCCTCTCCACTCTCTCTCCCTCTCACCTCTCCTCTCACTAAGAATACATGAGGTTGGCAAGAGGTGAAGAATGTAAACGAACCATCAACCATGTTTCCCTCACACACACACACACACACACACACACACACACACACACACACACACACACACACACACACACACACACACACACACACACACACATACGGGAAGTTTTGGCCGTGTATAAATATGTACAAACACACCCCTGGGCCGTGTTACCCCCGGGTCGACTGCCACAACACGGGGGGACTCTTAGACCACGTTCCAAATTTTTTTTTTACTACCGAGTTTTGTTGCCGGGGAGAAATAGTTGTGAACCCATAGCATTCCTCTTAAAGCCTTCCTCCATTTTCTTTCCTCCCTATTACTTTCTTCCCTCCCCTAATACTTTTTCCCTCCCTATTACTTTCTTCCCTCCTATTACTTTCCCCTCCCTATTACTTTCTTTCCTCCCTAATACTTTCTTTCCCTCCCTAATACTTTCTTTCCTCCCTAATACTTTTTTCCCTCCCTAATACTTTCTTCCTCCCTATTACTTTCTTCCTCCCTAATACTTTCTTCCCTCCCTATTTACTTCCCTCCCTACTACCTTCCTATACCTATTTCCTTCCCTACTACCTCCTTCCCACCTTCCTTCCATCCCACGTTACTTAGCACCTAACCTACCCACTCCTCCTCTTTCCCTTCTCCCCTCTTCCCCCCCCACCTCCCTAAGAACCACGTCTCAACAGTTATTTATGGTTCAGGGAACCTACACTAAGGGGGGGAGAGGTGAGAGAGGAGAAGGTAGAAGGAAAGAGAGGAAGAGAGAGATAGAGGAGAGAGATTTGATAAAACAGATTCACAATGTTGCCATGGTATGTGTGCGTGTGTGTGTGTGTGTGTGTGTGTGTGTGTAAAGGGAAATTACAGTGTTAATCTGTCTCTAATATCCCTCTCATTCTCTTTATCTCTCTTTATCTCTCTATCTCTGATCTTATCTTTGTCCCTCTTATCTCTTCACCTTCTCTGTCTTTAACTCTTGTATTCTATCTCTCTCTTTTTCCATTTGTCTGTCTTTGTGTTCTTCTCTCTCTCTCTCATTAATATCTTTCTCCTGTACCTCCACCCTCGTCTTGGTTCTCTGGGATAATATCGCTTAATTGGCACTGTTGACACGTGCTCATAATGTTGGCACGTACTATAATGTTGACACGTACTCATAATGTTGGCACGTACTCATAATGTGGACACGTACCATAATGTTGACACGTACTCATAATGTTGGCACGTACTCATAATGTTGACACGTACTCATAATGTTGGCACGTACTCATAATGTTGACACGTACTCATAATATTGGCACGTACTCATAATGTTGGCACGTACTCATAATGTTGACACGTACTCATAATGTTGACACGTACTCATAATGTTGACACGTACCATAATGTGAGGGGGGTGAGTGTGGATGGTGAGGAGTGAGTGGAGGGGTGGAGGAGGAGGGAGGGTGAGTGAGAGGGAGGCAGTGGAGTCATCGATCAGTGCAGTCACTTTGGCTCAAATGACGGAAATTGAGTGATGATAGCGAGAGGGTTGACTACGTTGATCAATAGCCAGAGGGGGGAGAGGGGGGCTAGCTATCAGGCTGGGGGGGGTGAGGGGAGGGGAGGAAATGGGGTATTGATGGATGAGAGAGAGAGAGAGAGAGAGAGAGAGAGAGAACGCTAACACCTGTAATATTCACTAACTCAAGGTACACATACTAACACCTGTAATATACACTAACTCAAGGTACACATACTAACACCTGTAATATACACTAACTCATACACATACTAACACCTGTAATATACACTAACCAAGGTACACATACTAACACCTGTATATACACTAACTCAAGGTACACATACTAACACCTGTAATATACACTAACTCAGGGTACACATACTAACACCTGTAATATACACTAACTCAAGGTACACATACTAACACCTGTAATACGTGTTTATACCAAAAAAAATCCCTTCCCAAGTTTTTATTTTACGAAACATAAAATTAATTTGTTTGTTTTTTTCCTTCTGCATCGTCTTGTTTTTTTTTTTTTTTACTAATTATAAAAAAACTAATCCAGGAATTAATGTTTTGTGTTGTGTTCTGAATATATTTCGAAAAAAACAATTAAATATGTTTTTTAAGGAGAAAATAGTGTGTGTGTGTGTGTGTGTGTGTGTGTGTGTGTACACGTGTCTCCTCATCTTCCACCCACTTCACCAACCCACCAACCCACCCAACCCACCCGCCCTCCTTGACATGCAAATACATATACCACGCTTGCAACTTCAGTAATCAACATTGCAATAAAATTCATTAACTAGGAATGTTGAATCAAGTGTTTTTGCAATGATGTTTTTGTTTGGAGTTTATGAGCAAATGAATGAGTTTGTTTGGGGTGTTTGTTTGGGTGTGTGTGTGTGTGTGTGTGTGTGTGTGTGTGTGTGTGTGTGTGTGTGTGTGTGTGTGTGTGTGTGTCTATTGTTTGTATTTGGGTTTTACTCCTTCACTTCCTTCACCACAAATAACACTTCTTCAATTAATTTCCTTCACTGCCTCTCTGCTCTCTCTCTCTCTCTCTCTCTCTATCTCTCTCTCAGAAGTTCATTAAAAAAATTATATAATGGAAAACGTAAATACTTTTTTCCCTTCTTCAAATTCATGAGTTTTTCAAAGTTTATTTACATTAAGTTTTTGCCCCGACAATTTTTTTTTCTTTCCCAAAAATACATAAAATATCTAATTTATCTCAATGGAAATTTTCTCTCGTATTTTATTTATTTATTTTTTGTCGTAATTGTTAATGTGGGATTATTTTCATTATTATTTTATTTATTTATTTATTTATTTTTTGTGGTGGAGAAGAGGGGGGGGGTGAAATGAGGAGGAGGAGGAGGAGAAGAAGAAGGAAGAATAAGAGGAGGAGGAGGAGAAGAAGGAAGAATAAGAGGAGGAGGAGGAGAAGAAGGAAGAATGCAAGAAAAACTAAAAATATATAATGTAAACACAATAAATTTTTAAATTGTTTTTATTCCCGACTTTTATTAATTTTTTTTCTCTTGTTCTTCCTAATATTATTTTGTTTACATTCACACATTCACGTTGTTTGCTTTCCTTGTTTAATCATTCTCATTGTTTACATCATTCATTCTCGTCTTGTTTAGTTCTTGTCTCTAGTTATACGTTTACATATATTTCGTATTTTATTTATTATTATTAGGGTTAGGTTAGGTTTGGTTAGGTTAGATTAGGTTAGGTTAGATTAGGTTAGGTTAGATTAGGTTATGTCTGGTTAGGTTATGTTTGGTTAGGTTAGATTAGGGTTATGTTAGGGTTAGGTTAGGTTAGGTTAGATTAGGTTAGATTAGGGTTAGGTTAGGGTTAGGTTAGGTTATATTTGGTTAGGTTATGTTTGGTTAGGTTAGGTATAAATCAGTCTCAGGACCCTACAGGTGTCTTAAGTGAGCACCTACACCTGGGCCTCCGTCAGGTATGGTGGGAATACCTACCTTAATTACCCCAACAGGAAGGTGCATTTGTTAAGTTCCTTCAGCGTGTAAAGAATGTGCACAAGACCTCTCATGGGAAGACTGAGGGGGGTGGGGGAGTGGGGAGGGAGGGGTGGGGGTGGAGGAGGTGGCAGGGGTGAGGGAGAAGAGGGAGGGTGAGTGAGGTGAGAGGAAGGAAAAGGGAGGGAGATGAAAGTCAGACCAAGTGCCATAACAACTTTAATATGACATTCTTCGTTCTTATTGGCTGAGGAGGCGTCGTGCTGGCCAATCAGATGAGTCCTCGAACACAATAGAGACTTAAGGGGAAGTGGGGAAGGGGGAGGGAGAAGGGGGGGAGGGGGGGATTTTCCTGTATCCCCCCCCCTCCCCCTCCTCCTCCCAAGAATCATAATATAATAATTTTTCTTCCCTCGTAAGTGAAGATTTTAAAGGAATTTTTTTTACCCAATTAGAAGTCTTTGATATGACATTCTTGGTTCTTATTGGCTGAGGGACCTTTTTGCTAACCAACCTTTACGAGTTTCCCAACACACCCAGAGATTTGTTTACATTTTGTTACCTGTCTTCAGCGATAATTAATTACAGGTGTATAATATTTTCTTCTCTTTAATTAATTGAGTAACTTAAGGAAATATTTAATTGACTGATAAAGACAAGTATAATGAGATATATTTCTCATTGTATTTCCTATTAAAATTACATGTATGATGATAATTGTGACTTTATATTATTTTATGACCCCAGTGAATGACGTCAATTATCGAGGCACAGAGAATGACCCCAGATGTTTATATCATCCAGGGACCCCACCCCAGATAGTGACCACATGCATATATTGACCCCAAAGAATAACCCCAGATAATTTACCCCCCAGAAATTGACCCACCCCAGATAATCCCCCCCCAGATAATTAAACCCCCAGAGAATTGACCCCAAATAACTACCCCCTAGATAATTTAACCCCATACAATATATTAACCCTGATATATTAACCTCTCCCCAAATAATTTAACCCCAGATTCTTACTTTTACAGGGACCCCAGCCTGGCCAGCCCTTCAAGTTCACCGTTCCGGAGTCTTGCGATAGAATGAAAGAAGAGTTCAACTTTCTTCAAGCACAGTACCATAAGTAAGTCGATTTCTTTCACCTGCTTTCATGTGGTTTCATTCATTTTGTCTGTGTGTGTTTTTTATGTAAGTTTGTTTGTGTCTGTTTGTCTGTCTGTCTGTCTGTCTGTCTGTCTGTCTGTCTGTCAGTCTATATTTCTTCCTATGTGATCTATCTATCTATTAGTTAATTAGCATCGCTCCCATAAAATTGGTTAAGACAGACAATTTAATCAAAGGTACATCAAGTTACAAAACGGTACAGCAAATGGTACGTTATATTATGTACCGTCAGCTGATTTACAAGCCTAGGTACACTACAGCAAGTAACAATATACACTGTACCGTGAGTTAAGTTACAGTGGGAAGAAGTTAATTCATACTGTACCCTCACGTTACAGTAGTAAGTAGTCAATATACACTGTACCATCAGCTAAGTTACAGTTCTAGTAAGTTACAGTTCTAGTAAGTTACAGTTCTAGTAAGTTACAGTCCTAGTAAGTTACAGTTCTAGTAAGTTACAGTTCTAGTAAGTTACAGTTCTAGTAAGTTACAGTCCTAGTAAGTTACAGTTCTAGTAAGTTACAGTTCTAGTAAGTTACAGTCCTAGTAAGTTACAGTTCTAGTAAGTTACAGTTCTAGTAAGTTACAGTTCTAGTAAGTTACAGTTCTAATGATTACGGTTCAAATAAGTTGGTCTATTGAAAGTTACAGTTCTGTTTCAGGAATTTGATTCTGGCAAGTTACAGCCCTAGTAAGTTACACAGTTCTAGTAAGTTAGTCCTAGTAAGTGCAGTTCTATTGATTTTCAGTTCTAGTAAGTTACAGTCCTAGTAAGTTACAGTTCTAGTAAGTTACAGTTCTAGTAAGTTACAGTTCTAGTAAGTTACAGTCCTAGTAAGTTACAGTTCTAGTAAGTTACAGTTCTAGCAAGTTACAGTTCTAGTAAGTTACAGTTCTAGTAAGTTACAGTTCTAGTAAGTTACAGTCCTAGTAAGTTACAGTTCTAGTAAGTTACAGTTCTAGTAAGTTACAGTTCTAGTAAGTTACAGTCCTAGTAAGTTACAGTTCTAGTAAGTTACAGTTCTAGCAAGTTACAGTTCTAGTAAGTTACAGTTCTAGCAAGTTACAGCCCTAGTAAGTTACAGTTCTAGCAAGTTACAGTTCTAGCAAGTTACAGCCCTAGTAAGTTACAGTTCTAGTAAGTTACAGTTCTAGTAAGTTACAGTCCTAGTAAGTTACAGTTCTAGTAAGTTACAGTTCTAGCAAGTTACAGTTCTAGCAAGTTACAGCCCTAGTAAGTTACAGTTCTAGTAAGTTACAGTTCTAGTAAGTTACAGTTCTAGCAAGTTACAGTCCTAGTAAGTTACACTGGAACAAGTAACAGTAACGAAAAACAATAGTGTACCGTCATGCAGGATACACTTCCTGACAGAGTGCACCAAATTACAGCATTGTTATTGTACCATTAAGGCAAATTACAGTGAATTACAGTGAGTTACAGCAATAGCAAAGTCACACCCTCAGATACAGCAATAACAGCACCAATTATTACAGCAGCAAAGGAAAACATTACAGTGTGCCGTAGGGAAAGTGACATTCAGTTACAGCAAATTACAGCAATACAAGATATAATGCAGGATTGTGTTACTGAAGCCACATTGATCACCTTGGAATTGTAGTGTTAAAAGTTAATTTACAGGGTGATGATGGTGGTGAGTGGTGGTGATGAGAGTGGTGAGCGGTGGTGTGTGTGGTGGTGGTGGTGATGTGTGGTGATGATGGTGGTGAGGGTGGTGAGTGGTGGTGGTGAGGGTGGTGATGGTGTGGGTGGTGATGAGGGTGGTGAGTGGTGATGAGGGTGGTGATGTGGTGGTGATGGTGTGGGTGGTGAGGGTGGTGTGTGTGGTGATGGTGAGTGGTGGTGTGTGTGGTGGATGAGGGTGGTGGTGAGTGGTGTGGATGTGTGTGGTGGTGTGTGTGGTGGTGGTGAGCGGTGGTGTGGTGATGAGGGTGGTGGTGAGTGGTGTGGATGTGTGGTGGTGTGTGTGTGTGTGGTGGTGATGGTGGGTGGTGATGGAGTGGAGTGGTGTGGGGGTGGGTGGATGGTAGGTGTGTGTGGTGGTGGTGAGCGGTGGTGTGTGGTGATGAGGGTGGTGGTGAGTGGTGGATGGGTGGTGGTGGAGGGTGGTGGTGATGGTGGTGGTGATGGTGTGGGTGGTGATGTGTGGTGGTGATAGTGGTGATGTGGGTGGTGTGTGTGGTGGTGGTGGTGATGACAGTGAGGAGAGAGAGAGAGAGAGAGAGAGAGAGAGAGAGAGAGAGAGACAGACCCCTAATGGGATTGTGTGGTTGGCCAGGTAACTTTACTTACCTCATTAATTAATCCTATTACCTGGTATTGTACTCCGGCTCCTCTTATATCCCACTATCTTAACTTCTTAACTAACCTCTATCTCTTTTTATTCCCTGTTTTTATTTATTTCTCGTGGTTTTATTTATTTTTTATTATTTTTTTGTGTTTGTTTTAATTATTTTTATTTAGTATTTTTATATCGTTTCGTTTTTTTTTTTATTCATCATATTTTTCCTCCTTTATTTATCTTTTAACTTTTATTTATTTTTTTATTACACATCTAAACTATATTTTCCACCTTAATAAACCCACACATTAATCTATATCTATTAACACAATTAATCACATAATCCAAAACCTTCCTAATAACAACTAACAACAACATAAACAACTAATACAAAAGAAAAACAAAAAAAAAACACGTGAACGAAATCAAAACCTTAAATAAACACTTTTAGAAGACTTTAAAAATTTTCCTCCTCTGCTTCTAGCCTATAATCAGAAGCGTTCCCAAGGTTCCAATATTATTTCCAACGCCAGAGTCGATCCCAAGGTGTGGTAATGCTCACCTTGGCGTGTCGGGGCTCACCACACACTATTGCCACATCACTAACGTCACCACACCATTCTTTAGGTGCAATGGGGGTCCAAATTATCCCCCCCCTCTCCCCCCTCTTCCCTCCCCCCCCCCTGTTGAGGTGTGTGAGGGGCAGGTGGGTAGAGGGAGAGAGAGAGTGTTATCATGACGTTATATCGGACCCAACAAGTGTCGCTCCCCTCCAAGTGTACCTCATAATAGCATTGTTTTATCTCCAATGGTTTTTGTCTTGGTGTGTGTGTGTGTGTGTGTGTGTGTGTGTGTGTGTGTGTGTGTGTTCTCTCACTCTTATTAAGGGTTTACCTAGAAAATACAAGGGTTTACCTGTAGTGTACCATAAGGGTTTACCTGTAGTGTACCATAAGGGTTTACCTGTAGTGTACCATATGGGTTTACCTGTAGTGTACCATAAGGGCTTCACCTGTAGTGTACCATAGGGTTTACCTGTAGTGTACCATAAGGGTTTACCTAGTACCATAAGGGTTTACCTGTAGTGTACCATAAGGGTTTACCTGTAGTGTACCATAAGGGTTTACCTGTAGTGTACCATAAGGGTTTACCTGTAGTGTACCATAAGGGTTTACCTGTAGTGTACCATAAGGGTTTACCTCTAGTGTACCATAAGGGTTTACCTGTACCATAAGGGTTTACCTAGTGTACCTTAAGGGTTTACCTGTAGTGTACCATAAGGGTTTACCTGTAGTGTACCATGGCTTGAAATTATAAGGGTTTACCTGTAGTGTACCATAAGGGTTTACCTGTAGTGTACCATAAGGGCTTACCTGTAGTGTACCATATGGTTTACCTGTAGTGTACCATAAGGGTTTACCTGTAGTGTACCATATATTTACCTAGAAAATTCATAAGGGTTTACCTGTAGTGTACCATAAGGGTTTACCTGTAGTGTACCATAAGGGTTTACCTGTAGTGTACCATAAGGGTTTACCTGTAGTGTACCATAAGGGTTTACCTGTAGTGTACCATAAGGGCTTACCTGTAGTGTACCATATGTTTACCTGTAGTGTACCATAAGGGTTTACCTGTAGTGTACCATAAGGGTTTACCTGTAGTACCATAAGGGTTTACCTGTAGTGTACCATAAGGGTTTACCTGTAGTGTACCATAAGGGTTTACCTGTAGTGTACCATAAGGGCTTCACCTGTAGTGTACCATAAGGGCTTACCTGTAGTGTACCATAAGGGTTTACCTGTAGTGTACCATATGGTTTACCTGTAGTGTACCATAAGGGTTTACCTAGTAGTGTACCATAAGGGTTTACCTAGAAGGTACCATAAGGGTTTACCTGTAGTGTACCATATGGCTTACCTGTAGTGTACCATAAGGGTTTACTCTGTAGTACCATAAGGGTTTACCTGTAGTACCATAAGGGTTTACCTGTAGTGTACCATAAGGGTTTACCTGTAGTGTACCATAAGGGTTTACCTGTAGTGTACCATAAGGGTTTACCTGGTACCATAAGGGTTTACCTGTAGTGTACCATAAGGGTTTACCTGTAGTGTACCATAAGGGTTTACCTGTAGTGTACCTGGAGGGTTTACCTGTAGTGTACCATAAGGGTTTACCTAGTAAATTATAAGGGTTTACCCAGTGTACCATATGGCTTCCTGTAGTGTACCATAAGGGTTTACCTGTAGTGCACATACAAGGGTTTACCTGTAGTGTACCATAAGGGTTCACCTGTAGTGTACCATAAGGGTTTACCTGTAGTACCATAAGGTTTACCTGTAGTGTACCATAAGGGTTTACCTGTAGTGTACCATAAGGGTTTACCTGTAGTGTACCATAAGGGTTTACCTGTAGTGTACCATAAGGGTTTAATACCTGTAGTGTACCATAAGGGTTTACCTGTAGTGTACCATAAGGGTTTACCTGTAGTGTACCATAAGGGTTTACCTGTAGTGTACCATAGGGTTTACCTGTAGTGTACCATAAGGTTTACCTGTAGTGTGTACCATAAGGGTTTACCTGTAGTGTACCATAGGGTTTACCTGTAGTGTACCATAAGGGTTTACCTGTAGTGTACCATAAGGGTTTACCTGTAGTGTACCATAAGGGTTTACCTGTAGTGTACCAT